TCCCCGAAGCCACACATTCTTCCTTTGCCTATTTTCTATTCATCTGTCTCAGATCCCTGTTCAAGCCCCCACCCCCATTAAATGAAGTCAGCAGCCCTGCCATGTGCTCCCCTATCCCTTATCATCCTTTCTTGTACTTACATGTTTGTTTGGCCGTCTCCTTTGTTAGCTCTGTGAGGGCAAAGAATGAGCTTGTCTCATTCGCCATTGTATCCCCACGGCTACGCACAGACTGTGTGCACACACACTGGCACTCAGTAATAATGTATTGAATGAATAAATATATCCATGATACCACCAAGCTCTAAGGAACTGCTTCCGTCAGAACTTACAAAACGATTGCACAACAACTGACACCTGAACTAGGCTGTTGTAGAAAGCTGTTAAAATATATATATAATGTGCTCGCCTTAACCCAGTTCTTCATTTCAGCCAAATGGAGGCAGGTCCACTATCTTTGGAAGCCTTCCATCACCTGAAGCTCCTTGTATACGCAAAGAGAGCTATTAGTTTTCTTGCAAACTCTGAGCCATGAGTATTTAGGTATCTGTACCGAACTACTACTTAAGCGTTCTCAAAACATGATCACCTGGGTCTTAGGATCCAAAGTAGCAAATGTGTTCAAAGTAAATCTGGCATTAATATATTTACTCCTTTATCCAAGGACTGAGAAGCACTCATTTGCATGGAGTTGGCTGCTTCTAGGAATCAGGTTTCTGTTGATTACTGCATGCAAATGTGCCCATATTTCACATAGACATAGGCCTAACTGATTCCATTAAGGCAAAGTGGTTTTCAAATCTCCTTTTGCCCTCCCTGCCCCCCCCCCCCCCCCCCACCTCTCACCCTGGGAGTAATGTTTGGAGTCATTTTCGATTGTCACACTTAGGAGGAGGTGCTACTGGCATCTAGTGAGTAGAGGCCATGGATGCTGTCAAATATCCAGTGATGCAAGGGCCAGGCTCCACAACAAAAAATGCCCTGGCCCCAAATGTCAATAGTACCAAAGCTGAGAAGCCTAGGTTGCCCAAGTCAATAGCCCAAGGCTGAGGTGACACTCTGTAGCCACTTTTGCTCACAAAAACTAGACCCTACTCATCTGTGTGGTGCTTTTTAAGACACATGGAAACAAAGACAAGAATAAGTTAAGAAGCAATAATAGGCTGGGCTCTTCCCCTGCCTGATATTAGAACAAAAGATGTGTAGTTTGTCTCTCAAAAAGAATAATTCAGTTGGAGAGTTTTCCTAGTAGATTCCTGTCATGGATCAAAGAATCTCCTATGGAAATCTCATAATTCAAAGCATTCAGCATTGAACTGAACAGATTCCTGGGTGTGGAAAGGAATTTTGGTGAAATCAAAACAATATTTGTTTTTCATATTGAATATGTTCAAGTCGTTTTCTTTTCCTATGAGTATAACCATTTGGACAAAAATATCCACTTGAAATGCAGGTGAAATGTAAACTGCTACACTTCTACATAGACAATCCAGTGTATTTATACTTAATCCATGAAGGCATGATGTTACAAAACACAGTTGTATATTATGAAGCCATCTGGCATCAAATTTTCCAATTTATAGACAACTTTGTATTTACATAACAAATTATTAAATCAACCATTTTTCTGGTTTATAAAAGGTCACTGAGGTACACACACAGTGTGTATAAATGCAGATAAGGCTGGTAATACATATTTATAGTAGATACAAATTAATCTTTCATTTTTGAAGATAATGCTTTTTATATATTTTTTCTATATCAGACTCCCCACTGTTAGCAGGATTTCCCATGCTTGAGTTGTTTATTGCTTTTTGGCTCACTGATTTAATATTCATTTCTGGGTTGTTTACACATATGAATTACTAATGTTCTTATCTCTTTGGCTAATGCAAATGTGATAGAGTGAATAAAAGAAAAAGATAAACTAATTCAATATTACAGTTCTGGCTGGTTGATAATTTTTGTTCATGTCCCCCAAATGAATCAATGCACAACTCGTTTGATAAACTACATTGAAAAGTCTTGAGTCTTGCATTATACCATTTGGGCATAAATGGGCAAAGTAAACGAGATATCACATTTTCAGCAAGGCCTAGTGTTTTGACTTTCTTTTCAGAAAGAGCAATGCCACCAACATCTTAAGCATCTTAGATTTTAAAATCTTAATGCATATATGCTTGTGACTTATGAGGGAACACTACAATCTGCATGGAAGATTACCAAAGTTAACAACAATGTGCTATCATGGTCTAAAATGAGAAATGAGTCACCTCATAGGATATAAGAATCTTCATAAAACTTACAGAAAGTGAAACAACTGCCCTCTTCTCCTGCAATTTTGAGTGTTATGTTCAAATAAGAAGGCTGTGTTTACTTAAACAACAGACATAGCAAAAACTCAAAGTCAGGGTCCAAATAAAAGACTAAAAGTGGCCCATGATATCACAAGGGATGAATATTCTTAAAGCATTTTCATTCATAATGGCACTAAAAAGTACAAATGTTCCTTTAAATAAACAAAAACCCTGGTTTGCTTTGAATGCTACAAACAAGACAAATCACACAAAAGCTGCTCAGTTAATTTTCACTCATTTGAAATAATTTTTAAAACCTTCTTAGAGGTTTAGTTTATTCTCCTTGTGCTTCCTAGGCCTGTTAAGGGACACAAAATAAAATTAGATTTCCTTTTCCAGCAGGGACTATTATGTTCTTCAAAGAAGAAAAAAATTTTCATCTGTTTCCATTCTTGGATTTGTTTCTTTAAAAAGTTTATTTTAGGGAATAAAAATTTTGCTAACATAGACGGGCTAGCCTTCATTTAAAAAAATGAATTGGCTTCAATACAAAGAGAAATAAATGGCTCTATGGGCAAAACTGAAGTGTGAGTGACCAATTTTTTAATTGTAAAGTAGGTGCAACATTTAAAAAAATGTTACAGCACTTCATGACCTGTAATGGTAACAATATTTACATTAACTGCTTACGCAAAACCACATAACGTAAGAGAGAGAGAGGAAAAAGAAAAAAACCCCACGTAGACTGAAACTATTACACCCAGCACCCATATCAAAGCCATAGCAGCCAGTGAGATCATGGGCACAAACATACTTTACATGTTCTACTGATGTAAAGTATACAGTGGGAGGGAAGCACAAACTGAATTAGCTCAAAATACCAAAAAGAAGGCTTGGTCAACATAAACTCAGCCTGAAGACAGAAAAGCAAAGGCTAAAAACTCTACATATCAACACATACACACATACAGACACACCCAGCATACAAACACACACGTATGTCTGTCTGCGAATAAACACAAATGTGCAGGAAAAAAACATAGAAAAACAGATTGGTGCAAAAAAAAAAAAAAGACATTAATGGTTTAAATATACTAGCCACATCAACTTTTAACTTATAAAAATGTGTCAACTAAACCACACAAACGATTACTTCATGGGACTGTATGAAGGAACCGGGCAGGCAATCCCACCATTACAAGAGAGACAAAATGAACCTACCCCCTGAAGGAAGGGTTCCTACTTTGAGGTCATGAAGCCCAGGATAGCCAGTTGCATTCCATTAGGCTTGGGTGTAGAGGTGAGAGTAGGAACAGAGGGACAGAGAGACACAGGAGACCTAGAGGAATAACTAAGAGCTGTTGCTATCAAAAGTGAGCCCAGGTAGCATGCTCTGTGCTGTGGCCCCAAGAAGCCAACTCAAGGAATGACCTTGGTCTCCATTTTCCTGAGTTACTGGAACTCTGCTACATGACAGGACTGAGGAGTTTGGGGGCTGGGTGGGAAAGGAGCAGTAGGAGAGGTGGTGGGCAGTTTGAGGTGCTGAGCCTGCTACTGGAGAACCTCCTAGCAGCCTGAGCGGGAGACTGTTGCGTGAGCCCTAGGCTAGAGGACAAGGCAGTGCTCTCTAGGGGCTTCAGGGTTTGGGGGAGAGACTGGTGGTTCCAAGAATAAAGGGATAATAGATCCCTTCTTTTGACAATCTATCATTTGAAGTCAGGCTGGAAGCCTAAACTTTGCTTAACTGCCTGGAAGACAGGGTTATACCACCACCACAAAAATTGTGAGAAGAAGACGGAAAATTATGTTGTGCTACATTTCTTATTAATTACCTTGTACTTTACAATGGCTCACAGTTTCAGGTTTGTATACTTGTAATGTAGTATTTTCTCTCTACATTTGTTTCACATTTTTTCTTACTTAATATAATATAAATAATTTGGTTAATAGATTTAACCTGCACATTTTAGCCACATTAATATATATAAGAATCTGTTAATGGTATAAATAATTCTTTAAATAAAATAAATCTGATATGTTACACAATACTGATAAAAAATTGCCATTGCTAATAATTTTGTAAGCCACCTTAATTAACTTCTGGATTAAGTAATACTGACGAATGGATATGAAACTTGCTTTGATGATTCATATTTATTTTCGCCACTACAAAAAAAATGAATTATAATCAACCTTACCTCTGATAACGGTTGCAAAATGGGGCTTTTGCCTCCATGTACGGAAGTAGAAAGTTTTATCTTGTTAGATATCATTTGCAAAAAAACCCCTCAACTCTGAGCACCAGCAGTGGTGCTGTCAGTATAAGCTATCTGCTTTAACAGGTGGCTATCAAATGTTCACTACAGAAATGGCTGAGGAAAATATTCCATCTAAGATTTTTTTTTATAAAACCTATTCTATTTTAAAACTTAGGTAAAAAAAATATGCAACAAATGGTTGCAGTTTCTGAATTCTTAATTTAGACCTGTGAGCTCTCATCCCTTTAGAAATCTGCAAGGCTGCAATTTCCTAGACACCCAAAATTGAGTCCAGTGCTTCCAGGCAAGGTTCATTCCAAACAGACAATATAAATGGACACTCAGTGGTGTGCAGTGTATGTCATAATTCAGATATTACATCATCATGCCTTTTCTCTGCTGTTAAATACAAAAACAGCATCTTTTACATTATCATAGAAAAGCATTTAGGTTGTATTTTTATTTATCACTTTACACTGGTAGTCTCTGGTAGGTGTACTCCATAGAAACCAAAGAATTTTGTACACTATTTCTTTGTACAATAAAAGATAAAGTGTGCATTAGGTACGCTTGTACATGACAATATTGTACAATATTTACATTTCTGATATCACCATGAAATTCTGTATTTTCTATATACAACATTGAAAATTCTTCAGAAACATTTGGACTATTTCTTGGAATCACAATTTAGTATTATAGAAAAAGAGTTTCTCAGTAATCTCTTGACCATTTATCACTCTCATCACACAGAGATTTTGATTGGTTTTTCCAGCATTCATTATCCTTCCTGATCAAAAAAACTTTCTATCACTGTTTCTTTAGCACCCTGTGGTGGTGGTAGCTATCTGCCATAATCTAAATATTGATATAACAGTGGCTATATCAATACCTATATACAGATACATCTGTGCATGTTCCTTTAATAAACACTGCTCATTAGTGGAGTAGTCTCTGTTATCTGGAGATCTTCCTCCTCTTGGGTTTGGGGGGTCTCATTTGTCTGTCACCCTGTGGGATTTGGTGTACCTGGAAATAAAAAGGTAGAAAAAAACAACAACAACAGAGGATGAAATCACAAACACCATACAATTTCTGACAAAGAAACAGGGCAGAGAATAGACTCTGGCTTTCACTTTCAATTACTGATCTCCTCAGGCACTCAAAATGTTTACCAAGACCCCAGATGTCAGTGTGCCCACAGTCACTACAGAGAATGCAGAATACCAGAAACTAATAAGCAGTGCCAACACTCTGGGGGCGCCAATAGAGAGTGGAAAACAAAGGATGAACCGGACAAAATCAACTATGGGAAATGCAATGTGCAGTTGCTACCCCCATTGTCCATTTAAAACAAAAATAAAGCCTTCCCTGTCAGAGACCCTAGATGACCAATTTCACTACGGCCTGGAAGAGTGGATAATTACACACCAAACATGCTTCTATTTTTTCTCACTTTGTCACCTTAGTTATTTCACAACGACTAGGAAGGGTCACAAATTATAAGAACATGCACACATAGCTCAGCCCAAGGATGTTTGTTTATGAGAAGAATCAAAATGGAAAAGAGGATTCCACATCATCTGTTGGCAGATCTGATAAATTCCATCTATCATCTGTTGGCAGTCTGGGAGGAGCAGTTAATACAACTCACCTCTCTTTACATACTAATACAGGAATTAGCAACATTTAGTGCTGTTCATTAGGTTGAGCAGTGGCTGGGCAGCATCAGACAGCAGGTATAATTTGGAGGAGGGAGTGATCAAATTGTCTTGGAGCTATTGGTGGAAGGGAGAAAGGTCCAAGACCCAGGAGAAGAGGGATGAACCCAAGGCAATGGTGTAGAAAATGCTTAATCAGCATTTGGACACAAGTCCATTGTAGCATTTTCCCACTTTCTGTGGTGTAAAATTTTTACCCTGGTCAATTTCAAGCTCCCAACCTTATGTCACAGAACTTAAGAGTTAGGCAGAGATGAGTACAATCAGCTCTCAAGATCCACAACAAGTTGGTTCAATTATATGCTTAAAAATAATGTTTAGACAAGAGCAAAGGGCAATGTTATCCAGACGCAAATGCAAAATGCTTTAAAAAATAATATTTAAAAATTTTAAATAATGTTATGGGTTTCTCAATCTGCCTATTCTTCCTAATCTTCTCCATACACATTTTTTAAAAACCACTAGTCTGTAGAAAAGAGCCAAAACTTTTTATAAGTGAGGAAGGAAACTTTTTATAGCTGAGACGGCAAACTAGTAATCTGTGGACCAAATGTGGCCTGAGATGGTATTTTGTTTAGACATATGGCACTTTAATATTTTTAAAAACGGTGTCAACACATATAAATAAGAATTTTTACCTCTAGATTTCTAGTTTCACATGAAAAATGGGAAGAACCTGCAACATGAACACAATTTCCCATGTCTAAGATCTGCTGGAGCATGGAAGAAATGCCTTCTGGAGACAGCGCATGCCGCTCAGGTTGCCCTGATCCTTATTACTCTCAACTACCTGATTTCCACAAGGACCAAATGTCCTGAGGCAGAGTCTAGAAAGACGATGGCCAAACTCATTTTCTTTTTCCTGGGCAGGCACATTCTATGCTCTATTTCCTATTCCACTTGAGTTAAGAAGGCTTTGTGATTAGGTCAGGTCAGTAGAAAGTTAACGGAACGAGCTTCTAGGCCTGGCTCATAAAACCTATGCTGGCAATATTCCTAGCACGCTTTCTTCTTTTGCTTTCTAGGCAACGCACAAAGGATATAATGGAGCACTCTGAGGACCTAAGAGAGGTGGACACTAGATACAGAAAGAATCTGTGCCCTGGTTTGGAGCAACCCCTTCCTCAAACATCACCAGATTCAAGTGGGTAATGGCCTTTACTGTGCTGAGCCTCTAGACTGGTAGCTTGCCCCAACCCATGCATCTTCACTGGCATTTCTCATCCATCCCAACTGCTGTTTTCCCATACCTGGCCCACTTTAGTGATATTATTTGCCTGGCCCTAGAAAACATTTGAGTTTATAATCCCCAATCTAGATCTTTCTTATAATTTTATCAGGAAATTTAATGTCTCAGGGCTTCAATTCACCCATCTGTGAAATGATGGGTTGGTTGGATTCCAAAATCTCTAAAATCCATACTAATTCCATCATCCAATTGCCATTGGATGGTTTGTTGGGATTCAGAAAACCCTGTAACATAAGGTCAAGGAAAAGAAATTATTTCTCATGCTAAATAGCCTTAGATAATTTACATTTTTTGGAGATTATCACAATTATATTTTAAGTATTTGTATCAGTCAATGTGTGAACTGGAGGGTAACGATCAAACTTCTCACAATCAATGCTATTATATGCCCAGTTCAATAAAAATGGGATATGAGAGGTCTATATACTCTTGATCTGGACCCCACTGTTTAATTTCACTTTTTGGTTCAACGGACAGAGAGAAATTTGCATTACTAAATATATAGGCAATAGTAATGGCCACAGCCAGTCACAGAGTCAAATGCAGAAAGCTGTGTGAACTTTCATATTTTGCTGCTCATATTTTAAAAGAATGTTATGTGGCAAAACAAAAGTTACTTATCTCAGGAAGAAAGACATAGTTAATGCTGGCAGGTTATTTTTTCTTAAGCGACTTTGAATCTTTTCTGATATTTGTTTTCTTTTTCCAGATTAATTTAGTATTGCTACGTGAGTTGTTTGGCAATATTCAAGAGAGTTTACCAAAAAGTGCAACGCAATTTATTTTCAAAGAAACACAGTATAATGGAAAAATAAATTAACTTACAGTCCCCGACATTTTGTCCAGTTCACTCATGGCCTCATGAATAGCAGCTTCTAAATGGTTATTTAGCTTTCCACTTCTGGAATTAATGAAAACAACACACCAGATTAAAAAATTAAAGAAACAAAATCTCAGTGTAATTTCCTAATCAGAAAACGAAAGAACCAGGTCCACCAGAGAAAGTCAATTTATAATCGCGTTTGGAAAATTCAATGACAATACATCACTCTGGGATTCTGACCACTGAATACTAATGATTAAAGTCACAGAACTACTAAAAAAAGTTTAACAGACTGGGGGGCGGAGAGATGGGCTTTTTTCTCTTCCACGTGCTTCTTCCACAATCTGGTGATTTGAGAAGAAAGTTGGGCCACGGGTTCCCTCTCCCAGCGACGCCGCTCACGCTCCCTGGCTCCAGCCGGCCCTGCAGCGCTTCTTGTTTCTCAGGCAGCCTGGCTGTGAGTACTAGAGGAAGGGCGGCGGGGCTGAACTGCAGGCTCTGGCCACTAGGGAGCTCCCTCTGCCCTCTCTGCAGCGTCCTGGCTCTAGAGCAAGTGAAGGCTGAAATCCCGGTGCACGTTCCAGGTGGGATACAGCTTAACTCTGACGCACCCGAGGCTCCGAACCTGGCCCCCAGCACATTTTCCGAAAAACCAAAATGATGTAACTATTTGAACAGAGAAAGAGTGACGGCCTCAGGGTGCCTATCACTTCTCTGTCCTTTTCTCTCCACTTAGCATTCCATTACACATATTTGGCCTGAATTACACACATGGTACATCTACCATTTTTGAAGCTTATATCTATGAAGCTATTGAACTAAAATCAGGTAAATTCATGCCAGCCACCTCTGTGGTTATGTACACTTTGCCCATCCTGACTGTTAACTTGTTTTTCCTTCTTTATGCAAATAAATACACCCACACACACCTTTTTTTTCCCCAAGTACTAAGGTGATTCTTTTCATTCGTCCTGTCATGACAATTACTAGGAGAGCTGCTGGAGGTAACGTTTTCATTACAGGTGGTTAGCATGGGTTTCCATGAGTTAAGTCCTATCTCAGCATCGACCATGGAGACTGGAAATTTGCAGTCGTGGAAGAATTTGACTTACTGTCGTATTCAGTTTGGTTAGCATAGCGTTTTGAATCACTTTTGAACTTTAGTTCAGTATACCATAGCTTTCACTAGGTTTGATCGTCACACACCATGACTGGACAATGAATACACTGAGTTTCTGTCTACACTTTGAGAACTCCGAGTTTTCCACCCCTGAGTACTATAGTGCTAGACATACCATAGAAACTGTATGTATTTGCTAAATAAAAATATTTGTCCAAAGCTGGCCCAGATGGTCCTGTTTCAAAAAAAATACGTACTTAGGTCAGTTTAACTGAAGCGAAAAATTAGTGTATTAGTTTTAACCAAATTATAAAGGTAATATGGCATCAACCACTTTTCTCCTACCTTTTGCTGGCCGTGTAAGCTAGTCTTTAGCTTTTACACTTTTGTCATTTATTTTTAGAAATTTTAAAATGCAGAGAAGTATGTAGGATAAAATAAACCTAACATATTCCTCTCCTGGAATGAAATGTTAATAAATTACATACTTCCTTTAAGTCTTTTATATTAAAAAAGAAAAAAAAAAAAAAAAAGAAAGAAAGCTGGAATTCCCATTTGTTATCCATCCTGGTCCCCTTTTCCCTCACCTTACCATCTCAACTTTTAGTCTGCTTTTATGCTTTATATAATTTATCCATGAACAGCACCTAGTATGGTTTTATGTGGTTTTTTTTTGATACACACACACAAAAGGTGTTATGATATACATACTTGTCTTTTTTCTCCTTATAACTGTTAAATACCAACTAGTTTGTATAATCTACTCATTCCTTCTAACTGGTATATAAGAAGTGTTTTTATTATGTATCTACTGTATTCCATTTACCTACTCATTCCAGTTTCAAGGGGGCCCTGATATCTCATGGAGTCAGTCTCAGTTGTTTTCCTAATGAGGTATCTGCTAAGCAAGGTCCTGGGAGCCCTCTGCAAGGCCACCTAGGGATTGCTGAGGCTGGGCTGGGGCCCCTTTTGCAGGCTGCTTGGCAAGGATTCTGACAGTATTATCACTGCCACATTGCCCCACAATATCACACTTTGTGTAATGTGTTAAATAAATTTATCCTTACTATTTCTTTTCTTTTTTTTTAGACGGAGTCTCACTCTGTCACCAGGCTGGAGTGCGGTGGCATGATTTCAGCTCACTGCAACCTCCACCTCCCAGGTTCAAGCGATTCTCCCGCCTCAGCCTTTCAAATAGCTAGGACTACAGGTGCTACTGCGCCTAGCTAATTTTTATATTTTTAGTAGAGACAGGGTTTCACCATGTTGGCCAGGAAAGTCTCGATCTCTTGACCTTGTGATTCATCCGCCTTGGCCTCCCAAAGTGCTGGGATTACAGGCGTGAGCCACTGCACTCGGCCTACTATTTCTTTTGTATAAACATAAGTTTGATGTATTAACATAAGTTTTAAAAGACATTTATTTATTATAAATTTTGATAAGATCTTATGAGTTTAAAATTGACTATATAAAGTTCTAAATATTTAAAATGAAGTTACAACATTTTAATGAAAAACCTCCAGAGAACATTGGTTCTCTCACCTTTAATTTTAGTAAAAAAAAAAACAATTTGATGGAATAGGTGTTATGACAACTCTTATGTGATACTTCATAGCTTTTAGGGATAATTGGTGAAATCAATTATTATGAGAAATCAATTCTAATTTTGTAATGAAGAAAATGGATATTTGACTAGAGTTTTCAAAAGCAACAGTCATAGGAAAAAGTTTTTACCTAACCATGAAGAACTGCAATAACAATTACCACTCAAGCACAAAAACAATTCAATATTACTTGTTGAAAAAACCAATTTCATGAATTTTGTCATCTCATTCTTCAAGATATTTCAAATATTTGTAAACACCTTGCATTAATTCAAGCTAAATTAGTATAATATTTCACCTTTAACATACCTTAATAGTTGACAGAGGGAGAAATGACTTCTTTTGGAAGAGAAAAGAAATACATAGATGTGGAGTGTGAAGCTATTTGTATACAACATGAGATTCGAGAGGTAAAGAGAGACTCTCCCAGATGTCAAATCTGGAGATCAGTTTTTTTCTAACTGGTCAGGTCAGAATGAACTTACAAGAGGAAGAAAAAAAACTCCACAAATTCAAGAAATGAACAATTAGTCAAAATTCAGCCTTCCAGTCCAGAGGGCCTCCCTGTGGAGTTTCTTCTGCTATTTTCTATTCCCCGCTGACATTTAATAATAAACATTTTTACTAATGGACACTCTAAAACCTACTTGATTAAGTAATAGATATTCATATAATCACATTTCTAATTATTAATGGAGATAATTGCCACTTTTCAACTTCATTGCCTATACTGTCACACATTATCTTTATCTTCACTAATTTTTTAAAAAGCCAGGTACACATCTATGAATGGTACAAGAAACAAAGGAAATGAAAAGTTGCAAGTTGTTCTACATTGTCAGGTTAGAGTTTAAGTGACTCACTTCATATAGTATGTAACAAATTTGAGTGAGACTTAAAAGTCAAGAACCCTACACTCTGAAACCGAATCTATGGAGAATGAATGCAGATGTAAGAAAATTTAACATGGTAAGTATCATTCCTTGGTTTTAAAGTGAAAGTGTGACTTATTTAATCACTTTGTTGTTTGCCAGCTTCACAAAAATTCAGGTTTCCAAAGAAATGTCTATGTAGACAGAAGATTTGTTCCTCACTTAAATGAAAATCATAACATATGTAAAAGCTATGGAATTTTTCTTTAATAAAGCTATTTCTGCTTTTAAGGACAAAACTGCCCTAAGTAATGTGTTAAATAAATATGTTACTACTAGGATATAATTAGAACATATGTTTAAAGATATTTATTTGTTGTACAGTTTGAGGACACTGAGGATTAAAATGACTACATAAAATTCTAAACATGTAATATGGTGGTAGAATGTTTCAACTGGGAAAAATAACACAGTTTTGTTTCTTTCACCTGTATCTTTATAATAAAAATAGCTATTTACTAAATACCATGTGCCAAGTACTGTGCTGAGGCTCTCTCTATGTTATCTGTATTACAACAATCCTAAAGTAGGATTACGCCCATTTTAGAAATGAAGAATTTAGGCTCAGGGACATTGTGAACACACAGCTATGAAGTGGTAGAAACAGAATTTGAGTCCAGGTAAAAGCCAAACTCTTAATTATATTGTTCCAAATGCCACCTTCCTTTTTCAGTCTTTTCCTCTTTTCTTCTTCCCCTCAGTCTACAAAAGCAGTCAAATCTTTGTCAATTAAAAAAATCTTTCTTTGTTATTTTTTAGGAAATTTTCACATTATGGGTAGAAAGAAGAGTAAATAATCTACATCTCCTCTCTCCATTTCCTTATTCTTATTTAGTCATCAACCCATGGCCACTTTATGTGTACATCACTCTACTGGAAACTGTTCTCACTGAGGTTACCAGTGACCTTCAAATTGCCCCATCTAATGGTGATTATTTTCAGTTCTTTTCTTCCTGGACCTCTGTTGATCACTTTATCCGTCTTTGACTCCTGAGACTCTATCCACTTCCCCTCATTCTCCTCCTCCTTACTGACCACTCTTCCCATCTTCTTCATTCTTTCACATGTTCAGTTTTTAGCCTACTGTTCTTCAAATTGGTCAAAGTACCTCTGTGTGACTGCAGTCATTTGTACACTCTCAAATACTGCTTCTTCCCAGTTTCAGACATGCATGTCCAGCCTATCCTGCAGGCACCCCCAACTGTACTCAATAGCTTCCCCCTGTAAACTCCATTTCAGTCAGTGTTTCTACCACTTACCGAGTCACCCAAGCTGAAAGCCTGAGAGCTGTCATTGATTTTGTTTCCATTCCTTCAAATTCTGATCAATCACCCCATGTTCTATTTTACCTCCAATCACCCATATTCTGTCTATTTTACCTCCTAAATATTTCTTGACCACATTCCTTCTCTTCCATCCTCATTCCCAACTCTGTCATCTCCTGGTTTGGATCCTCGTTCTCCCTTGTATTCTGCCATGGCTCCTGAACAATCTCTTTATCTTCAATATTGTTGCCTTAAAATTTGTTCTCTTGGCCGGGCGCGGTGGCTCACGTCTGCACCGAGGCGGGCGGATCACGAGGTCAAGAGATCGAGACCATCCCGGTCAACATGGTGAAACCC